GGTCGGCCGCGAGGGACCAGGCTGGGAGCCCCGAGGTGGGGGCTCGGAGCCAGGAGCTGCCCCCACCGGGGCGGGGAGGAGTGCTCGGGAGGCATGGGACAAAGTGAAAGTCTCCGGGCTGGGGTTGGGGACGAGTCTGAGACTGCTGTGAAAATGGATGGGGGCGGCGAGTGGTGTCTGGAGGGCGGAAGGGGTGCTGGTTATTCTCTGGTGGCTCGGAGTGGCTTTTAATGACGGCCGGCGGGGCCGGCCGGCTGGGTTTCGGGTTCCCGGTGGGCTTCCGCAATACTGGTGCCTTCCGGTACCTCCTGGCAAATTCTTTGGATTAAGGAAAGCGGCCTTTAACCCCCTAGGGTCTCCTTCTGGAGAAGAGTCACCAGGTTTGGTTCTGTTCCCCCTTTCTGCTCGACACTTCTGGGAAGCTTGGTTCTCCGGTGGGAAAGCAGTTGTGTTTTATTAAAACATGGAGCATATTTATACCTTCGTGCACCAGAATGTGCCTGGTGGCAGAGGGGACAGATTGCTTCTTAGCCTTAGACGCAGGACGTCCTTCTCTTAAACGTGCTGCCCTGCCTGGTGGGTGGGATTGGGGTTCTGATGAAGATAGTTGGGGCCTACCCTGGCCAGTGGGTCCCAGCTGAGCTGCTGACATGCTCTCCCAACCTCGTCAGTATTCCCTAGCCGAGACTTTTTTTGTGGTTGTTATTTTGCTGATTGTAGATATCTTTGCTTTGCTGACATCCTGTTTTGTTTTTGGTTTTTACATCCCATTTGTTTCTTTTTATCACAGAAACGCTTCGTTAAGGGACTCAGGCAGTACGGGAAGAACTTCTTCAGAATTAGAAAGGAGCTGCTTCCCAATAAGGAAACAGTGAGTACAATTGGACTTTATGTAACTTGATTTTTTCCTCTTTGCTCCTGCTGCCTCTCCACATTTGATCTTATGAAATGGTTTCCTTTAACCCTGCGCTGTGCTCAGACTCAGAGAAAATTCTGGCCTCCAGAATTTCTCCGTTTTACTCTCTTGACTTTTTCATTTGAGTTCATGGTTTTAGATAGTAAAGTGACAGATTATGCTTATCTGCCTGAAGAACATAGACTTCTGTTGTAACTCTAAGAACAGAAAGGTCTTTGGGAACAGAGGGTTAGTTGTGGGGGAAGGATTGTTGGAGAGTTAACATCTAATTTTAAACACAGTGGCTGAAATAGGAAATAGCATTTATCACTAGTTTGAATTTGGTAATTGGCAGAAGTCATCAACCACACTAGAGGTTTGTAGCTTATTATACTTTGAGTTCTGTGGAGATTTTTTCCATTTTTAAGTGTGTTTTGAAGAGGAGTTTTAACTCTTTAGTATTCTAGCCCTAAAAGTTTGCACTTTCCACTGGACGGATACACAAGGGGATCTTGTAAATTGCTTAAATGGAGCTTTACGAAAAATTACTTTGTATTTCACAAAGCTGGGGGTCAGAACTGACAAATATGCTCCGTAAACGTGAGGTGGAAGGATTTGCTGAGGAAAATGCGGAGTAAAATCATATGAAGAGAGTGCTGGGAAGTTCATTCTCATTTCCCTATAGTTGCCTCCCTCCTCATGTCCTTCCTTGGTGGTGTAGAGGCAGATGAAGAGAGAGTCTTTCCTCTGGCTAGGCCACAGGATAGGGCAGATGGGATGGAGTTGGACCAGCCACTGTCCACTGTCTGAGGGTGAAGGGAGGACTCAGTAATGAGAAACACTCTTCAGGACTTTGGGAGAAGTGATCCATGTTTAATCTGCCTAGACATTGAGCTGCTTTTTTAGGGAGTTAGGTGGGAGATGGATGGAAGAATATCTACTATAAAAGTGTGTGGGGAATTTGGGTTTTTTGGCTTAGTTTTTTAAATGGAGTGTTGTTTACTGACTTCTTGTTTAATTCTGTCTTTTTTTAAAAATGAGCTGTTTTTCTGGACACTTTTACTGTATAGCACCTCAAGGACAGTGATAACTCATGGGGAAGAAGGGTTTTGTGATTTCAAGTATAGTCTTGTATATATAAATGGATGGTTTGCATCAGTCAATGACAGTTAAATTTAAGTATTATGCATCTCATATGCTAGGATGGATCATATTGAGAATAGTAAAAAACAGAGAGAGAAACCTGTTTATAAGCATTAAACTAAGATGTATTATGAAGCCAATCTATATAACCAACTTATTTCTTACCCTTCCCAGAACAGGTTAGAGTTATTTAATATGGAATATTGAGATACATATTGTAAGTTTTCTTGGGATTTCAGTGACTTGAAGTTTGATATGATTAAAAATTAAAATGCCTTTGCCCAAGTGTAGGAAGTTTGGTTTGGCTGAGTGAAAAAGAGATCACTGAGTAGATTTCTCTTGATCGCTGGATTGTAGCCTCTCAAGTTCTGTCTGTGCTCCACTAAAAGTTGCAAACCGTGAAGAATTTGATACAGAAATCTCTTCACAATTATTTAATCTTTCTGTTTCAAAAAATAAACTTATAATTGCAGGATTAAGCATTAAATCTAAAATCTGCCCCACTGGGCATTTGGAAATGCTGGGTAATTTTATATAGTGTTTTATCTCCGTAGTGGAAGCAGATGTGAGTAACCTTTAACCTAGGTAAGCTCTTCTACTCTTTCTTTTCGCTCTTGATTGCCCCTTCTTATTGATGATGTGTGACTCAGTAAATAAATAGCCTTTTTTCTCCTTCAGAGACATTCTTAGTACACCAACCTTTTGAGCTAGTTCTCTGATTGTCTTTTCCACTAGCCTCTTTCCTGAGACCTTTCCCCATCACTCTTCAGCCTTCACAGTTTCCCACCCTGTAGCTCTTCTCCCTTCTCTGGCACCCAGCAGTCTTCCTATTTCCAAAGTCTTCATCAGTCACCATCATTGGAACTAATGAGACAGTTGTTTGCAGCAATGGAGGATTTATTTTGCCTGACATTTGCTAAATATTCATAGTGTCCTTGCTGTCTTTCGCATTGCACTGGAGGAGTTTGGTAGTAGGGTAAATCTGTAAGTATTATAATGAGCTGGGAGAGGCACTCATCTTGTATTTTCTTATTTTCTCTAGTTATCAACTTAGCCAAGCTAATCATTCACAGCCCACAGGGAGGGGAGGGCAGAGGTCATTTTTTACTTTTTGCTGCAGAAGATGAGATTTGCATGTACCAGTGTTGTTGATTCAAAACTTGCTGGGTAGAATTCTTATGGTCATGCCCCTTTTTATAGCAAATTCCTCTAATCTAGGTACTTTTCACATTCTCTCTTTTTTTTTCAAATGAGACAAGATCTAGCTCTCTTGCCCTGGCTGGTCTCAAACTCCTGGGCTCAAGTGATCCTCCCCCGAATAGCTGGGATTACAGGTACGTGCTACCATGCCTGGCTTACATTTTCTTCCGTCTACCAGAATTATTAACTCATTTCTTTGCTGTTCTCAAGTGACTTGAAACTTCAGAAGGGTGTCAGCATCCAAAAGAACATGCCTCATTGGGCATTGGTGCGAGGATCAGCAGACCTGTATTCTATTCTTGGCCTTACTGGTAACTATAGTACTTGATGATCTCTTTTTAACTGTGTAGTCTCCCTTGAGCTGTTCATTGGAAAGCTCAGGTCAAATCTTGACAACACTGGGAAGTTATTTTCTGTAAAACGGTGTTTCTTTGCATGAGAGTTGTGTAGGTGCTGCGGTATTTATAAAATGCCTGTACATCATTACTTGTTGCAGTGCCTGAGAGCAAAATGATGATTCTTGCCTCCTCTGCTACATACTTGCTCTGAGACCTTAGTTTATTCATCCCCTCTGTCCTTTAATTCCTGTGTTTGTAAAATGGGGTGATAATTCCTATCCTTTTGATTATTTTGAGAATTTAAATGAGATGTTTGTAAAGAGTGCATAAAAATACTTGGAAATGATTATTCTTCCTATCTGCCTTAAATACTACATAAGGTGGTAGCTAAATG